CCCCCCCCCCTCCCTCCTCCGATATCAATTGTCACCTCAACTTGAAACTTCTCTGTAATTAATGTCTCATAAGGTATCGTTTGGCACACATTTCAATCTCAAAATCGAGGGCTCGAAAAACAGGCGATTGTTTGAATCACTCTTTTTAGACCTCTCTGTGTGACGTCACGTAATCTTATTAAACACATCATGTATATTGTATAGACGAGTTAATATTGAAAATTACTCGTCGATATATTCATACGTACGAATGCATACCCTCATGGCATGGAACAGACATGGAAGATTGGCCCCCTTTGTAAAACGGAAGATTACAGTAGATTAATTCGTCTTCATAATATATTTTATCATTTTATTACAGGCAAACTTTTTGTGCAATATTACAAATTCGATTTTTGTCGTCAATATAAAATGCAGACACACTGTGTTTTATTTCTTGCACTTGTTCCACATTACGTCGAAGGTCCTTGAAGAAGTGCTCAAAAGGTACAAAACTAGAAACACAATGATTAAGAATTGCCAAAATGTGTGACGTAGCACTGACGAGTAAAAATTTGTCCTTGTGATAAAAATCATCCGGACGAGATAGAATATACACATATACACGATATTTAGAAACGATATACTTTGCAAGAAAGAAAGAATTTTCTATTTTTTGTTCTCTTCCCGAAAAGAGAGGAAAAAAAGTACGACGTTCCATCCTTACAGATCTTAATATTATATCAGACTCTTCATCTCGTTCTTGCAGTCTCAAATATCAAATGTCCTATACTGCGTCTGCAGAAGGGGGGACATTTTCGTAGCACCAACTATATCCTGAGATACGCAATTTTTTTGCCATGATTGAATTACACTCTCGTTCATATACTTGTAAAGAGTATTTTGATTCGCTCTCGACAAGAATGCCGACGATTAAACGATTCTTCGAATGTCCATAGTGCGTGGTGTTTAATTATAGAGATTTGTTAGAAAATATAGAAAAAAAAGTTTGGTGGAATAAAATTTGCATAATGTATTGATTGCCACAAAAGGCAAGAAGAGAATGTATATTTTTCACAGATCATAAAATGAAAGTACGGTACGACTTATGACTAGCGTAAACTGGCTAAGATTTGCGAACTTACTTGAACCAACAGTTCTTTCTCCTCAATTAAAAGCGCAGATAATGCAGCTGCCGAGCGCGGAATTATGTAAGTTATCGTGAATCGCATATGACCGTATTTTGACGTATATTTGATGCGCAGCATAAATCGACGGGGGCTCTCAGTGCTGTTCAGAATTTGTATTTTTGGGCTCGAAATAGAAATGTGTCGGTGTTTGTCTATGTTCATTACGGGGGGAGATTATGTTTCTACCCTTCTCTTCAGCCGTTTTCTCATAGCGCACGTCTCAGTGACGAGACAAGTCTGGAGAGAACGTCGTTAAAAGTTTTTCATGTGTGTCACATTCACTTTTTTTTCGTTTAAAAGTATATTATTGTTAACATTGTAAAATACTGTTATTTTCAATAATATATAATTATAAATACATAAATGTGTG